CTATGATCCTCAGCATTCGCATAGAATTCTCTTACTACTAATATCAAGTCTGCATGTGGTTGTTTAGCAAACATCCCCAACTCCTTTTTGCTATTTTATCCTTTGTATAATCTTCAAAATACCTTTCTGAATATAATTTCTATGCACTACCATATTATTATATTGTTTTATAGCCACTGCACTGACGAACTTGCTTCCATCTAAAAAGGCCAAAGAGGAAGACGTCTTTATCACTCGCTTTGGAGGCATTGTAAACTATATTCAACCAAATTTTACTTCACAATCAAGACAACCAAAGAAACTATTCCAAATCCAACCTGCTACTACAATGTAGTCCGAATTTGACAATTGGAACTTACCACTAAAATTAAGCACTTCTCCTAGGCTTTTTCACAAACACTTAGTCTTCACAATTTCACACATTACAATTTAAAATTAAAAAAAAATCCCCTATTTCTTCCCTAATCAAGCCTCAATTAATCATCAGCCAACAACCCAAAATCAAAAGTCCCAACTTCTTCCAAATCAAGCAACAACAATAATTTGCCAAAAACTCAAAATCAAAACTCCTAAAGAAAGTGGGATACTTATATTCAAGGGCAAGTCCCTTTGTTGTGTTGTAGTTCCCAAAACCTTACATATCCCTTTAAACATTCCTTTTTGGAGTAGAGTACACAAAGATTTGTAGAGTCTTTGGTCTGATTTGTGTAATGGAAGAATCAATGTAGAGGACGAAATTTGAAATTTTTGAGTTAGGGATTCGAGTGTGGGAAAGAATGGTTGTGTGCAAATTGAGATGGGATTTTATGAAATTAGGGATTTGGAAAGGATGGATTTGTGATATGTCAATAGGGATTTATCGATTGAATGGAGGATTTGAAAGAAAGAGTGAAAGGAATTATTTGGAAATTAAGGAGTGAGACAATTAGAGAAATCAATTTTGAGGTGGTTTTAAGATAAGATGGAGATAGATGGAGTGGTGCATAGGTGCCAAGTTACGGGTTTGATTGATTGGTTCGATGCCTAGACTGTGGTGATTGGGTGCTCAATTATGGGTAAAATAAAGGCTTATCTTTTTAGGTTGAGCCTAGGCTCTAGTAACACGACATCTAAGTTTACCAAATTGTTACAATTCTTAGCGTCTGGACATTACTAGGGTGGCACTTGGGCACTCAATTGCTGAAATTTTTATTTTTTATTATATTTTTTTAAATTTTTCAATCATTTCTATTTTTAACTGTCAGTCTCTTTTTTTCACCATGTTTTTGTCCCCAAACTTGAATATCAGCCTACAAAATAGAGTGAAAATATTAAAAACGAAAAAATTTGCGTAATCTAATATCAAAAATTGAAAAAGAGGGAAAAAGCTAGGGTTATCCCCAAGAAGTGTTTCTTTACCATCATTAACTTGACGTTGATGTGGGTCAAGGTTGATTTTCCGAGAGAGATTGATTTCGTAATCTACTTGTCCTTTCCATATTATTGCTAATGTCGCTGGCCATTATTTTGGAATATGAATTCATTCGTACCCTTCAACTTCATAGCACCAACGGAAAATATGTTGTGAATGGTTAGTGGTTGTGGCCATCGCGATTTAAACTTATTTGGGAGCAATTTTTGATGAAATTATAGAGGGGTGCCTGTTGTCCTGCAATGAACTTTCTCCTCAATATCGTCGTTCATGCTAACTCCCAGTTCGTTCTTTGTGGACTTTCTTTTGCCTTTTTCCCAAATCACTTTGGAGCCGTTTTATCAGGTTGCAAAAGCGATTTTGAACTTACTGCTTTCAAATTACAATTCAGCTTCTTCGTAGTAGAATATTTCTCCAAAAGCGCATAGCAACAAGGATCAGGAGGTGACTTCATCTCTAGCTTATTGTTCAAAACCACTTTAGATTTGATAGTGTTTGGAGGTTTCATAGGATTTTATTTATACCCTTCACTTACCACTACACCTTTACAGTCAATTCTCTGACAAGTTCTGGCTTTTCTGTGAATTTCATAGGTTGGTATATTTTGAACATGACTTGTTCTTCATTGCACAATATAAATTGGCCTCTCTGGAAAAAAATCAGAGCTCTATCAATTGCTAAAAATGGATGAATAAGAATTAATAAAATCTCTTCATCTCCTTTAAATTGTTGAAAGCCAATAAGCATTCATTAGAGAAGTCAAAAGTAACACAATTGACTAGTAGGTTACATAGGGACATCGTGATCTTTGAGAAATCCTTTACAAATCGTCTATAAAATCTGACATGCCCAAAAAAAACTACGAACACCCTTAATTAACTTCAACGACGGTAGTTTATCGATAACCTGAATTTTGCTATATCCACCTCAATCCCTTTGGCTGAAATTCGTTATACTAATACAATGCCCTCATGTACTATGAATTGACATTCTTCCCAGTTCAATGCCAAATTTGTCTCCTTATATCACTGTAATACCAAGGTCAAATGCTCCAAACATTCATCGAAAGAAGATCTAAACATCGAGAAGTCATCCATGAAATTCTCTATGAATTTCTCGACCATATCAGAGAAGATTGCCATCATATAATGCTGAAAGTGTTGGGAATCTACATATCATGTGCAGCGGAAATAAAAACGGATTTCAATTCCCACCAAGGATTCCTCTGTGTTTAGATAAAAATTATGATAGAAAATTGTACCTTTGAAAGATTTTGCAAACTTTTTGCTTTTCTTTTTGTTCCAGAAACTTCGATCTGCCACCTACAGCTATCCAATTGTCCAGTCTCCAATGGTGATCCACATAAAGAATAAGATTGTAGGAATAGAGTTTTCTTCTTGTGCTAACAAGAAGAATGAAGAAATCTATGCAAATTGAAAAGCCTAGTGACTTATTTATATAAGCCCAAACGGACTTGGTCTGGCCCGATCCAATATCTAATTAACCTATTTAATTAAATTCAGTCCGTGAATTAATTAATCTAATTAATTAATTCGAGCCTATAAATAAGCAACCAAATTAATTAAGTTATCCAGTGCTTGTTAAATTAATTAATTGACAAATCACAATCTTTCAGTTCTCCTTTTGTGTGTGACCTATCAAGTTCTCGATCACAATACCTAATGATGTGAATTATTATTTTGGTCTAATCAAAATCGATAAATTAAAACACTCTTTTAATTTATCACCAATTTATATTCACCATCCCAGATTGACATCTAACAATCTATCAGGGCAATACATGTGACAGAAAATCTCACGTGGTATGACAAAACCATACTCATTCTTTTATCGTAAAACTATAATCCTTTCGTCAATATGATTTGATCAATTATGAGATATGGAAGTGTGTTAATCTCGATTATCGATCATATCTTTCATACCACTATTAAGTCAATATAAATTGAAAACTCCTTTTCAACTTCTGAGTACACCTTGGCCAAGGATTTCACTATCGACTTAATTGAATGAAATACAAATCATAATCTCTTATTATCTAAGAGTGACGAATCTCTTTGGTCATTCACAACTTTCATACAATTCTTGACATACCCGAATGATGCAATATTAGTGGCTCTTGACAGAGCAACATTCAACACTATCAAAGTATGATTGTCCTCATATAGACACCATAATGACCTCAAGTCAAAGGATTAATTCCACTATCAAACGTTAGAGATTAACCACTAACACTCAGATAGTTATCCATGTGGAATGTCTTAGCTGGTCTCCAATAATTTGTTCTATAACAAAACATCCACGTGTTCATTCAAGTGTTACTACACTTAAGCTTGTAAGATCAGCTACTTACATCACAAGTAAGAAATGCCACACGTGACGGTCTATCCGTAATAATGATATTCATATCTCGTCATTACTTACGATCACGGATGATTTAAGATTGAATCATATGTAATTTGTATCTCATAATCACAACTCCTTGTGATTAAAAAATTTCTAATATTTGAATTTACGAACTCCGTTATTTAATTCAATTCAATATTAATTAAATAATAGATCTGCCATAAGATCGTGTCAACTATATATTAAAAGTAATTATGTACAAAGTTGATTGGACCTAGGGCATAATACTTACAGAAAAGTGGCGAGAGCATTTCACAAATCTAGCATCCTATGGTATGCAAAAGTACCATAGGGACATGCGAAAGTGGCCTTCTCCTAATCATCAAGCGCTCAGGGAATCTGATTATATCTAGAGTATACATCAAAATCTCCATCCTGTAACGATTCTGGTGGAAATCAATTCGTTCTTCTCATTCTGCACCATCATGTTACCACCCTTCGATACAACTTGAACTAGACTAATCAATGCAATATATGATATTGGGTAGATAATACCTATATCTAGAAGTCACAATACTTCAACCCTGACCACCTCTTTCATGTTTGGATTTAGCCTCCGCTGACCATCTACATTTGGTCGAAAATTATCCTCCATGAAAATTTTATGCATGTACAGCGAATGGTTGAATCCTTGTAATATACGCTATAGACTACTAAATAGCTGTCTTATTATCTCTGAGTACCCAAAGTAGTCCTTCTTTCTCTACCTTGTTGTTTGAATTCGAAATAATTACTGGGAGTATAGAAAAATCTCCCAAATAAACATAACGGAGATAAGGCAGTAGTTGCTTAAGTTCCAACTTAGGATGTTGTTGAATAGATGGTAGTGCTTTATAGGACCAGTTCCCAATTCCTTATAATGGTATTTGCGCTTATATGGTAGGTTAGTTCCCAGAAACCTTGTACATGCCTCAATCTCAAAAGAATAGAGTGAGTAGATTGAGAATTTGTAATGCATACTTCATGCACATCTAACGGGGTATGTAGCATAAATGTATCTTGGACCACTCTTCGATCACATATATCTGAAAATAGCTATCTAACTCAATAGGAAATTTAATGGCCTTGAGACATTGAAAGAAATCTGCTCCTCGTCAAGCCTCAAAATAAGTTGACCTTTCTAAGTATCAATAAGAGCCCTTCTTGTAGTTAAGAATGGTCGACACTATATGAGTGGAACATCTTGGTCTTCCTCCATGTCAAGAATGAGAAAATTAGTTGGAGAAATGAATTTTTCCACTTTAATCAATACATCTTCAATGATTGCTATTAGATGAGTAAGGGATCGATTAGCTAGCTGTAAAGTTATCGTAGTTGCTTTAGCTTCACCTAATTCGAGTTTCCTGAAAATATAAAGTGGCATCAAATTAAAACTTGCACCTAAATCGCATAAGGCTTTATCAAAATAACAATCTCCAATAGTGCAAGGTATAGTAGAACTCCTTAAGTCTTTTAACTTTGGAAGTAGCTTTCTCTGGATTCTGGCAATACATTCCCCAGTCAACTTCATGGTTTCATATTCCTCTAGCTTGCGTTTATTAGATGGGATGCCCTTCAAGAATTTGGCGTAGCTAGGCTTTTGTACGAGGCATCAACAAAACGAAATGTTGATATGAAATTTCTTGAAGACCTCAAGAAATTTTGTATATTGTTGATCCAACTTGTGCTTTGTCAACCTCTAGAAGAATGAATAGGGGGCTCATAAGGATTGATAGGAATGGTTTCCTTAATCCGTGGTATATATGAACTCTTCTTAATAGTCGATTATGTTTGTCTATTTAGTTTGTTCCACATTCACCTTCTTTAAAGAAGATACTATTTCCTTATATGCAAACAGCCTCTTGACATGTATTTAGATAGTTTCACCCCACTTTTACTTGTAATTTCTTTGGCGTGTTCCACTTGATTTCAATATTGCTAGGCAAAGTACCTAGTACTCTACCTGTCATAGAAAGTGTCATATTTCCCATTTGAGTTTTCAAGTTTTTAATAGCGGTATTCTAATATTGGGGAGTTGCTTCGGTCTTCCTCATAAACTGATTGTTAGCTTCCATATATTGATTTGTTTTCTTCATAAATTTTCCAAATATCTCTTTCAACTGAGACTTCTTTTCTTTTTGCTGAAACTGACCCTATGACCTTTTTCGATTTTGCTTACCTCAAGAGAAGTTTGGGTGCTTCCTCCAACCTGGGTTAGAAGTAGATGTAAATTATTCTTTTGACATTGTTCCCATTGTATAAAATCCACTTGTTTCATTTATTGCACTAGAATTGGGCAATTTGTTGTATTATGATATGTCCTACACTCCTCACAACTTAGCTTCTTGACTTGTCCTACATTAGCTAATTGTGATATGCTTTCCACCTTATGGAATAGATATCTATTTTCGTAGACAATGCTGAGTAAGCATCCACCTCGAATACACTTGTGCTTTCTTTTGAATAGCTCATTCTAAAGCTTACATGGCTGAAGTAGTAGCCACCGTCTCAAATAATTTCAACGTTTCATCAATGGTCTTTGTTGATAGAGAGCCGTTAGACGAGAAATCCACCATGCTTTAGAAAGATGGAAGAAGTCCGCATAGAAATATTGGACTTGGAGTCCCTTGCCGATACCGTGACGGGGACACTTTCGAATCATGTTCATGAACATGTTCCAAGCTTCGTCAACGTATTTGGATTCGGATTCTCTTTGAAGGAAGATAAATATGTCATGCTTTAACTTTGGCATCTTGTCTGGTGGAAAGAACTTTGTGAAAAACTTTTGAGCTAGATTGTTCCGCGTGTTGATACTGGCAATGGGTTGAGAATTCAACCACTTAAGTACTTTATCATGCAAAGTGTGTAGAAACGACCTTAGTCTAATAGCATAATCTGAAATACCCTGATATTGAAGGTGTTAACATATCTCCAAGAATTGAGAGACGTGTGTATATGGATTTTCTTCAGCTCTACCATAAAATTGATGTCTATTCTGGAACAGATGTATAACATTGGTCTTTAGCTGGAAATTAGGCTATCCAAACAAAGGGTAGACAATGTTGGATCAACAAGCATATTCACCTCATCAACAACTTCCTCTTCATTGGCTTGAACTACTAGATTGTTTTGCTTGTTAGCCATTTGTAATTGTTGCTTTTGGTCTTTTTGAATTTTTTGTTGTGTTGCTCTTGCTTCTCTTTGCCTACGATAAAAATTGCATTCAATTTCAGCTAAAATTAATTCATCAACAAATGATCTTCGCATGTCAGACTTGAAAGAAGAACAATAGTTGCGCTTAGATAAACTAAATAAAAAAATAAAAAATGTTCAAATTAGTACCCAGATAAATAAAATCAAACTAAAACTCAATCCCACAAAGGCACAAAAACTTGTTCACGAAAATAATCTTCATTTTAAAATACTGCAAGTATACAGTTCGTTAATAAGTAATAAAGTTGATATGAATCCAAGTATCGTCCCATGAGGATTGATTTAGTTCAATTTTTGCTATCATAACCTTAACCGAAATAAGAATATTTAGATGTGTTTGTTGTGATGAAATTATAACTAAAATAAGTTATCTGTGCAATTATGAATGAATTAACTAAATTAAATGCAAATTATACTATGCAAGTTGATGTGTTTTAATGAACGACAAACGCACTAGGATCTCAAATTCTCATGCAATGATCCTTTTTAACCTTAATTTTACATTTTGACAACACAATTGAATTATGACAAATTAATGTTCCTATTTTATTCAACAATCTCTCTCATGTAATGTTAAACTATTCTCATTTATGACACAACCATATTTCTATGACAGATGCGATGAACATATAAGAATGTATGAATTTTTATGAATATTTAAAGATTCACATAAGGCATAGTAGTATACCACTATCCCTTATTGGACCCTATGATGATTTATACCATGTCGTGCCAATTTCCCTTCTTTCGAATGTATAACATAAGCCATCACATTTACACAACTACTGTTCCCAATAATTGTGGAGAAAAGAAAATCATATAAATCATTCAATATCCAAAAACGCGTTTTTGATGTCAAATATGTAAAACTAAAGCTTAAAAATTCATATCACATGGTTCATCGTTCTTCTAACACAAATAAATCTTGCTAGCATGTTAGGAATAAGAAAATAAGAGAAATATTGAAAAATCGACATCACCGAATTAAATTTTGAATTGAATCTTCGGATTGTGGAATCAATTATCATGTTTCTTGTCTTCTTCTATACTCCAAAACCTCTATGAATGTGTTAAGATGCATAGTGAACACTTATGGATGGCCGTAGGTCTTTAAAAGACGTCCTAATATTTGTTTCCACATGAATTTATGTTAAATAAGGAAACCAGAATTTTTCGCTAAAATTGTACTATGTTATAGCATGGTACAAATGCATTCTATGGCATAGTTCAATGAAACTTTGCCCTGAATGTCACCATGCAACCGCATGGAACGACCAACCATAGTGTTCGATTTAGTCCCCGAATTTCGTTTTCTTGTTTTTTGATCTCTTTTCTCATTTTTCTTCTTCCAACACTTCATTCCTTCGCTCAATTGGTTTTCAATTCTTTCAAAATTTCATTTCTTCGTTTGGGTCAATTTTTGACCATTTTCACTTTGATCCCTGTACTTTGACTTACTTCCATTTTGGTCATTTTTTGCTCTTTTTTTTTCTAAATTTCGCCATATTCATCAATGTTGTCCTAAAAAAATATAATTCATATAGAATGAAACCATATTTCAACATATTTATCAATAATTATTCATATTTTGTGGTCTAAATAAGTATGTAAAATGCACTTATCAGATCTAGTTCATTTAATACTTAAGATCTAAAAGCTTAGGAGAACTAGAGCATTATTACATATTCATATCATCGAGACTTAGACACACAAATCATACACCCTCTAGCTCGACAGGCGGGTAGTGTTAACAAAGAAAATAAAGCTTTGATATATAAGTAATATCAACCTTTAAATTTCTCAACTATCGGAAAGAGGCTGGTTTAAACTTACTACTCATTAGAGAAAACATGACCATCTAAAATGTAAAACACCAAGTTAAGCAACTCAATTTAGTCACATTTGAGAATAAGAACAACCATTACTACACTTATCGAAACAAATGCACAAGCACTGGGATCTATCTTGTTTGTACTTAAAAAAATTCTAGATCTCTATTTTCTAGAGCAGTATGACCTACACCGAGTCTAGAAATGTAGGTCTCATATTACATGGTTGATGCTCTCTAAAGTACCATATTCTTCCAATATATCCAAAATTTTATCATGTCAAATGTTGTCGCATTTAACTTATAATCTTTATTAAGGTCAACAACTACAAATTTTGTTGCCATGATTTATAAATTTTAGAGATAACTATAATTTTTTCAATGACCATTTATGCATATGTGTTGTTTTGCATTTATGTAAATAAATATATACAATAATTCAACATTAGTAATAGAGCCGAAAGTTTAATAAGTTTTCAATCATCATCCACAATCCTAATATTTTACTGTCATAAACTTAATTTTGTAACGTAAAATTCTATAAGTTTTGGGCAAGAATTACATTAATTCTTCCCACCACAGAAGTCCACTCAATTGATAAATTAAATAGTTCTAGGCGAGATTTTAACATGATCTCACAAATTAAATTCCCCAACAAGCATGTACATTTATCTCTGTTAACACGTAACATGATATCACAAATTAATTTTCATTGAAAATAATTTCAAACATAAATGAAATTTCAATATACAGTTCTCAACCTCACCATAATGTATATGGCAACAAAGTCCCCACAAATGGAAAGTGAACATCAAAATGCTAATATTCTACTTATTACTAAAAATATGTCTCAAAAGTATAGCGTCATGTAATCCTTCTAAACACTTCATGTGTTCAATTAGGTTATGTTCCAGATCCATTTCGTAATTTTGATAAGTACTTCTCAACACATTCTATGCGATAGTCCTTTAGTTTCATTTTGGAAATGCTAAACGTGTGCATGAACCTAGCAACATTAGGGACAAAGCACGAAAAAAGAAAACATGTCTTAGTAGATCACACAACCACATTAAGACCAATACATCTCAAGAACATGGGGACCTCTATTATTTAAAATAAAAAATTGACAGTAAAATAATATTTTTCTAAACTTAAATGCAATTTAAAAAAAGAAATTGTTGATAATAGGACGAGTTTAAAATACTATCAAAGTAGTTCTTAACGTATAAGACTTAATAATCTGGAGCATCTTGAAGAACTTCTACTAGGTAACAAAATGCCTAAATAAATATTCTAGATTTAATATAAATTTTTAAATTTTGATTTCGTTAGAATATAATTTTCACGTATTTGTAAATGTATTGTAAACGTCATATACATAAATGTATTTTAATCATCTAAAAATATAATATTCATATAATGAAAAATTTAGAGTATTGTAGGGAATAAAATGCAATTTTTAAAATTACAAATTGAGGCTTCATGTGCTGAAAAAATAATTTTTTTTTAAAAAAAAAGCGTGTCACGAGTACTCCACTCTCACCGGGAAGCGCATGAGCTACACATCCTGCATTACATTGATGGTTCCACTCAAACTTTTGTCCTGATATTCAAATTTTGAAGTTTTGAGTTCAATGGAATGGTTAAATTATACAATTACAATACAATAAACAGAGAGTGATGAGCACTAGTTACTATTCACCATCTTCTTCATAAATGGCATTTTACAAATGAATACTGCTACTTATGAGGTACATAATTCCAAAATTTCTTTAATTTTCGATACGAATAAGAAAAGAAACTATTAAAGATCACATAAGGTTTCATACTTGAGCATAAAAGATTCACTACACAATTTAATCATGTAAAGGCAAACTTAAACATGCAAATGCTACAATGAATTCTATTAGGTCCAAATTGTGTTCACTATTTTCAAAATCCAAAATCAAGTTTTATTATGTTTTAATCTAAGTCATATAGTTACGGGTTGGGAATATTTGTTGAAAAAAGTCAAAATGGAACATGGAAAAAATAGCCACTGAATCCCTCGTTGTCCACCACTAGAACAGTCGAGCGGAAATTTCAGTGACCCATTGCTCTCTAGCCTCACCTTAGGCTCTTGAGCAGTGGAATGACCGCTCACTGGCCACCTGATGAGGGTTTGAATTATATGGCGTTTGCCTCTATGGTTAATAGTGAACTTGTAGAGGAGAATGAGGGAGTTGAGGACATAAATATGTGGAATCCACGTATTTATGCACTCACTCTAAATTATTTCTTATCTCATTTGTTTTGCATTATTTTATTATTATTATAAAAAATTTTGAAAAAAAAAAGATTTTTTGGCTATACACGTTAATGTGATTGGATATGTTATTTTAAGATCAAGTACTAGTAAAATTAATGGTTGCTGACTAAAAGTTTTATTAACTTTGTTGAGAACTTGTTTGGAGTACTTGACTAAGCTCTTGTGAATGAGTCCTAATTGCATGTATGACATTTGGGATGGCAGTTGTCAATGTGGTGATATAACCT